GTTACCTAAGCGACCCGCGTTAATAGAGAGAAAATGGACAGCACCATCTTATAGATCGAAAAAATAAAATAGGATGCAACATAGGTTAATCTGCAGACAAAAATATACCTTGCATATTGCCATTCAGATTCCAAGTTGATCTTGTTTACATTGAAAGGAATAATACAATACTGACATTTAACTCATTACTACAATATCCAAAGTATGTTACTATGCTCTTGTCAAAACGATATTTAGCTAATTATCAGTGTCCGCTGTTATACATTTATACTTTTAAAGTCTTGTATTACTGTTATTACACTTCATTTACATGCTTTAAGATTTATCTATACACTTATTTAAATCATCTGTGCATCGTCATTTCACACTTTCATTCGCCAGTTGCCAGGTTTGACAGTTCTGAGCTGGACATTTCATGCAGAACGCTGGTGAGAAATGTTGTTTCCAGTTTTGTGTTGATTCTGGGTTATTCTTAAGGGACTGTCCCTGAGAGAGAGGGGGGAAGGGGGTTGAATTGAGATAGTTAGCACATAGTATAGGTACATGGATGAGGAAACTACCAAACGAGTATTAAGCACCTGCTATGGCTCGTTGTCTTGCAGCCTGCGCGCGAGTCCCTCAGCACCTGGAGAGGTACGTCGCTAATGAGCACCCAGGTACACCTATGTGGACTTTTGCTTGCGGCAATCGTGCATAAGGCATTTAATTATGACATTGCGCATAGATATGAGTTCGTGAATGTTCAAGGAACACTTTTATACCAATATCAGGAAAAAATTATATCACCGTGATTTATGACGAAATATTTTGTGAAATATATCTAAAAAAAATATGTTTGTGTCCTTTTACACACGAAATATGCTTTGATCGAGACTCCCTGGTAATGTGTTTTAGTTTATGAGAGGTAATATATACATATATCACATATGAAGCACTAATGTTTAAAATAGCCTTATAAGGAAGGATTGAAAATATTTCCGTTACATTTCGCTCAATGGTCGGTACATCACAGCAGGGGCAATTTGAATTGATTTGAAATGGTTGTTACCGTTGTAAAAGACCAATTCAATACGAATGTTACCTAAATGTCAGATTTTTAAACTTCGGATGTATAAGTGAGATACAGATTATTTCATGTTGAAGATGATAGTACTCAGTAATACCTTCTCTGAAATAAAAACTATATGGAATTTTGAGCTCGGTTGGATGCATAGTCTTCGTTGGCGTTCAAAAAGCTATCGCATCCGTTTCGTGCGTTCCCGATAAAAATGAATATGTTTAGACGTTACGTAAGTCTTAGGCACCATAAATTGGCAAATATCCCACAACACCTAGGCGTCTGCATGATTTTATTGCACTTCTTAGTAAAGATAATGGGTGCAAATGGCTAATCATAAAATACACTTGTTCTCCTTTGCAATCTGTTAATATTGACAATTATCAAAGAAAATGGTATGAGAGGGATAACTAATATATTTTATTATTTAGATATGAAAGTCAATGTAGGCCTACTAAATTATGATGATTAATCTTTTTAATTTTATGTGCGTGCATTCATGTACATATGATCCTCCTCGAAAATTATAAACACCCAGTGACCATTCCCCCCCTCCCCCGTGTGAGGCATGGGAAATATTCAACAACTTTCGTAAGTTCTCGAATTCAATGTACTAAATTCATATGCTTTTAAAATTCTCAAAATTGAACCACCATGTTGTATTCATGCCAGGACTTTATAATTAGAATGATTTTGTACTAATGTTGCCATCCACATTTCCCATTTCTTTAAAAAAATAAAAATAAAATGGAAAATAAAAATAAAAAAAAAAAAAATAAAAAAAGTTTTTTATCTGGTTTAGATTAGTTGTCTCTATGGTAAAATGCATTTATTAAGCTTTTCACACGAAAATATCAACTTTTATGAACAACGAAAAAAAAAAAATTACATACCTTTACAGAATAGCGTCCCTATTGAACATGAAAATTCCTATTGACTTGGTAATCATTGCATTGCAAAGTACACTAAATAAGCATTTTTTTTATATATAACATCATTAGATTCAGAGGAAATTAACAGAGATAACGAACTTTGGCAAGGGGCCAAATACAAAACGCCGTAGCTCTGTCATTTTTTTATGAATCTTCGGTATATCCCAACACGTAATTTTCATGCGATCCATATGCAGTTTGTTGCTTTCACTAGAGCCTCGGCGTCCGAAGGCCAGGTAAAAGGCCGATTTTTGAATTTTTGCCTTAATAAAAAAAGAAAAATATTTTAATGCTGAAAAAAGAAATAAAAAATAGTTCTCTATGTCAAGCTGTCCCCCGCCAAAAAAAAAGGAAATTCAAAATTCGGCCTTTTACATGGCTATAGGCTAGAGTTGATCTAACACAAGTATTTTTGGGGGAATATACTGTAAAGAGCTGTGATAGTTGGGATGTACCGAAGACATACCAAAAAAAACAGCGATTTTTTTTCGACTTTTTGGAGGTACCCCCCCCCCAATAGGGGAGCAAAGTTAAAATTTATATATATAACGGAGCGCAATTCTTTACTCTATAGCATGCAAAAAGAATCAATCAGTTATCTCTAACCGATATTTTTTTATGATGTATAGAGTAGGGAAAGGTGGCCATTTCCAGGGACGGTCCCCTTAAGACTATATAGTGGCAACAAAGGGGAAATAGACTTTATTAATTATCCCAGTTTAATATCTGAGCTCCAAATGCCAAAAAAAGTGATTAAAATTGAAGCAATCCAGGTAGTAGGAAGGAGCGAATGAAAGTTTGAAGTTTCCAGATATGAAAGGTATTTGGTTTATTATTTTACAGTGTGAACGTAGCTCTATCTTGCCATACATACTGAGGTAAAGACAATGTATAAGGGGGGTTGTTTACTGGGGGCAGAGCCCCCAGCAACCTTTCCCTCTGGCAGTGCCCGAAGGGCATGCCTAGTCAAGGCAACTTAAATTGTTAGATTAGGTTTAGAGTTTTTGAATCTTGCGCATCAGTCTGTAGAATTTCAAAGATGGCGGGTACATCCGTAGAGTTTCATTAGCTGATTTTAAGCATTTTGGTACTAGTTTTACATATTTTTGTTTTCTATTTTTTTTAAATTTAAGCCTGTTTTATCTCGTAATTTCCCGGATATCCTTCATGCCCTCCACTGTTATTAGGGCTAACAAAATAAGATCATGGATGGAGAAATGGTACTCAATCTCCTCAACGATTTATTCACGTCTCTGGGAGAGGGTGTTGCTATCAATAACAATTATCCTGACCTAACCTGATCTGACTTAAACAATTTGCTGTACGAGGTAATGGCAGAGTTGGGTAATAAAAACGTTAGAAACCAGGACAATTTTCTTCTGTGGCAGTATTTGTGCAAATGCTTTCTAAAGGTACTATATGTAAAAGGACAAAGGTGAGTGCCCAATTCTAACTTAGTTGATCATCTTGTTTACATGTCGAGAGTAAACACTTGACTGACTGCGGAACTCATTATTACAATATGCCAAGTAGTTCATGTCTAGTCAAAATTACATTTTGTTTATCATCAATGTCTGCTGTTCCACATTTATACTTTAAACAACTTTTATTTATGTCATACCTCATTTACTTTATCTAGATTTATTTATATAGCTTGTACAAGAATCGGTGCATGTGCGCGTTTCTGAGCACCAGTTTTGACAGGATTCCTGGCTATTTGGTTACAGAAGACCGGCGGGAAGTGTTTCGTTTTCAGTGTTGCGTTGATTCTAGGTTATTCTTAAGACAATACATGGGCAATGAAGAAAAAATAGACCTTAATGACCATCTTAGTTTGATAACTGAGCCCATCAAGTGCCCCAAATGCTAAAAAAAGTGATTAGAAATGAAGCAATCCACACAGTAGAGAGAAAGTATTACAACTAATCACAGTGAGCCCAATGTCGCTCTCAGTAACAATTGCCAATGTAATATATCACTGTATCTCAATAAAGAGAGCACATTTTCTGTGGTGACTATTATTTAATTATAAATTACTTTCATAGGTAAAATCTGTACATATTTTCACACACTACATGGTTTTTACCTACATAAAAAAAATCTCATCAAGACCATCATTTCCAACCAATACTAGAGCGAAAGTAATGATCAATGAAGTAATAAATTAGGAATGCATATAAAGGTAATTCTTTACATTATGGACATACTCACCAGAGACTTAAGCCCTCAACTCCATGTCACAAAATTTATTCTTCAATGTAAGTTTCCGTGACTCGGTGCGCCCTTTGGGCACTGTCCGAGGGGAGGGTTACAGGTATGTTCTGCTCCTCAACACCATCTGGGAATCTATTTCTTGACCTTGGTATGCATGGGAAGATAGAGCTGAAACTTGGGAGCACTGAGTGTCTCGAGATTATTTCTTGTACCAACAATTGCAACCTTTTGTCCTCTACGAGAATATCATATTCAGTTTGCCCTAACTTAGTGCTTCCATAACATAAATATTAACCAAAATAAAATTCTTCATAAAAATTACCAATGCGCTCTTGATACATGGAAAATATCTACAATAAAGTGAATATTTTTATTTCTGTGAAAAATAGTTGCCAAGAGACTGGGGCTTGGCCCTAAATTGGTTAGGTTAGAATAGATCAGGTAAGGGGTAGGTGGGGACTGGGGATTCAGTCCCTGGTATGGAATATGGCGAATGTGTGGGGATCCAGGGGTGGGTTAGGTTGGATTAGCTTAGGTTAGATTAGATCAGGTCAGGCCAGGTCAGATGGGGTCCAGGGGCTGGATTCTCAAAAGAGCCTCAAGTTAAGGCGTGCCAGAGGCCTTAACCGTCCTGCTTTATTTCCCTTGTATAAGAGTGAAGAGTGTTGATTTCCACCATTGATTTCTGCATTAAATGATTTTGACCTTTAGTTTTATTGAAAGTAGTCTTTTTGTTAAATTAATTTATCTTTGCAATACTAGGATATTTGATTCATAAAATGTGTAATTTCTGTTGGATGTGGACATTGCGGAATTCAGTAGCATCATTGAGAAAGTGTTGGAGAGTGTGAAGTCTCTCTCTCTCTTGTTCCTCTTGTTCGCTCTCTCTTTCTCGCTCTCTCTCCCTCCCTCCCTCCCTCCCTCCCTCCTCCCTCCACCTCCACCCCCCTACACACACACACACACACAGCCACACACACACACACAGCCACACACACACACACACACACACACCACACACACACACACACACACACACACACACACACACACACACACACACACACACACAGCCACACACCACCACACACACACACCACACACACCACAACACACACACACACACATACACCACACACCACACACAGCCACACACACACACACAGCCACACACACACACACACACAGCCACACACACACACACACACACAGCCACACACACACACACACACACACACACACACCACACACACAGCCACACACACACACACACACACACACACACACACACACACAGCCACACACCACACACACAGCACACACACACACACACACACACAGCCACACACACACACACACACAGCCACACACACACACACACACACACACACACACACACACACACACACACACACACACACACACACACACACACACACCACACACACACACAGCCACACATAGCCACACACACACACACACAGGCACATGCACACACACACACACACACACACAGGCACATGCACACACACACACACACACACACACACACACACACACACACACACACACACACACACACACACACACACACACACAGCCACACACAACACACACACACACACACACACACACACACACACACACACACACACAGGCACACCACACACACCCACACACCACACACCCACACACACACACACCACACAGGCACACACACCACCACACACACACAGGCACACACACACACCCACACCCACACAGGCACACACACACACCACACCCACACAGGCACACACACCCACAC